TCCACACCTTAAGGTTCCCTCTGATTCCAAGGGTTACACACACACACACACCATTTGCAGAAGCTAGACACCTGTAACCTGCTAAACGTGTTAGTGTTGATGACCCCGATGACCCCAAGACAAGTCAACTGCGCTGACAACGCGAGCCAACGCGTAACACAAAGCGTGGGTTTCAGCCTTTTGGTGTGACTGGTCGGGCCCGGGGACCCTGGAAGACCAGAACTCCACATACCCCAAGGCTGAGTGTTACACACTTTAAAGGGGGACCTCAAAGCACATCTAGAAAAGATTTTTAAAAAACGAAGGTAAGGGTTCCTCTAAGAAGGCCCCCTTTGAAGGGGCCTGGTTAAAGGAACCCTTGCCTTCTTTTCTCTCTTTTGCCAGGGCCCCGGCCCAACAACTGTGCCAAGCGAAGCCTGCCAAGTCAATATCTTCATGTTTTGCGGGTTTTGCCCTTCAAGGGATGCAAGACTCTTCCCCTTCTGATTTGCAAGCTCCTCCCACTTACTGTAGGTCCAGGTCACTATGATCGTCACAGGTCCGAATGCTCCTGCCTGTCTCTCTCAAGTTCCTGGCACACGAACCGATCTTTCTCAGTCTGTTTGCAAACAAAACATAGTTGCAAAATGTTGCAAATCAGCAGTCCTCAGCTGCTCGCGCAGCAGCACAAATGATACGACAGAGTTGCTGTCTGGCCTCCAGACACTTCAGGGTACCAAATTGAGCTTCTTGGAAACTGGAAGTACCGGAAGCCTTTGAGTTTTTGATTCGGAAAGCAACGCGGTGTCAAACTGACGAGCTGACCTGCACCGAAAGGCCCCGAACATCTGTGCCTGAGCAAATATCTGTGCCTGACCAAATACGTCTGACAAAGCCTTCGAAAGGACATCTACCTCAAACCCTGAGGCTGCATCCTGCCCCCACACGGGTGCATCGGAAGGAGGTACGGCAAATCGGGCAAGAAACCTCTCCGGGCTCGCACAATCTCCAACCAGCTTTCAAAATACTGAAAAATGCATGTTTCACAGCAGTTGAATTGAAAAATGGACCGGAAAAATGAAAGAACCTCGGGACATGCGCTCGCTTCGAAGTCTCGCTGGATGTGGACTCCACACTTGGGACAAGCCTCTGAATGCCTGGGCTGATGCTCCTTGATTAGGAGGCCCGGTCTGCTCCACTACCATTAGGGTATGCTTGGAAATTGAGAAAACCACTACCTCCATGATACCCACCAGCACTTTTCCATGGCAAGCCGCTCACCATGCAAACCGGCCGGTGTTATCATTATATACTTTAGCTACTTGTTCTTGCCTAAAAATATCCACGAACTACAAGAACCAGCTTTGGATGCATGCTCTGCCTGATGTGTGCCACAGTGTGCGTGTGTAGATATATATATATATAATATATATAATATATATATATTATACATACACACTACATGCTGCCTTATCAAGTTCTGCAACATCAAACAAAGCACACAGAAAAGAAGCGATCCAGCATTGGGCATGTAGCCCACTACTCACTTTTGTTCACCACAGGAACAATGAAACTTTGCCCACTCCTTAGCCCTCAACAACTCCTCTATAAAACAAGGCCCAGGGCAGCCAAGGCACTGAAGCAAATAGAGAAAATCTTTTGCTTCATTATCGGACGAGCACGGACGGAGAACCTTGGCAGTGTCTCTCGAAGCTATCGGTGAACATGCCTTTGAGCAGCCAACATCTCACTTGAAGTTCAGCGATTGCAACTTTGCCTTGTGTCAACCCTTGCTCTGCCTGAACTAAGAGTTCTGCCTGATACTCTTTGGAGTCAGAGGGAAATATAAGCACTGCAAACTCTCGCAAGGAGAGACGGCCAGGAAGACATGAGTCATACCTTCCAAGCAACGTGGCCTGTCCTTCGTACATGTTTGCAGGACTTGAATGTCTGGCTTGCTGGAGGGGCAAAAGAAGTTGAAAGAATCCTCAGAGCTACCCTTTTGCGGACGGACAAATCAGCTTGCCAAACATATGGCCAATATCCCCACAATATGCTGGTGGGTGTTTAAGTCGTTATAGGCATGCTCTTGCAGGAACAAAAAACACTTGCTGCGCAGCATTACTGTATGGCCTTGCAATGAGTTCGCAGTTGCTTCACAAATGTTCAACTATGCTTCGCTACGCTTCCTGGATTCCTAAGCTTGGTTACGGGTTCGCTACCGTCTCGAATTAATTTTCCCGTGTTACACGCTTCACGCTGACACAGTAATGCTGGGGAAGAGATCCAGAGTTGCACCTCAGCGTTTTGTGGTTTCACCAGCTCGACAGTTTACAGAAATATATTAGTTGTAAAACGAGGCGGAGGCCAAAACAAACAAAACCCTCAACTGACCTACATTCCACGGAATCACAGCGGGTCCCGCAAATGACAAGAAATCGGAGCAAACCACCCATATTCTGCAGATTGCCACAAATCGCCCGCAACAAACGCAGAACTACCTGGATGCATGACGCCAAATGACATTCAACAATGAAACTTCCCCGTCTTCTTCCGCTTCTGTGCCAGAGTTTGCAAGCAAATTGTAAAGAGTTGGAGGAGCGACTGATGCCCTGCCTTTTCCGCAGCTGCACCTCTTGCACCAAGGTGCCTTAGGAATTTGCAAAAAGAATAGCCGAGGATAGTTGTCTTAAGATTCAAGCTGATTCAAAGTCCCTGACAAATGCCTCCAAAACTGATGTCACCATGAAAATCTTGGACCAACTGCCAGAAATCCGTGTCCAGCAAGAAGCCCTGCCGAATGCACTCACCCATGCTAGAAAATGACCTCTGCTTCAGCCCGCCTTTTCAGTGGGATCCAAGCTTTGAAAGAGCACCGTGAGCGGGCAACCCTTGGGGCAAAAGGCCTGCCGCTGGACCCACTAGGCTGTCTGTGCATCTCACTGCTTTGACTTCTGAATCACTCTGAAGCTGAATCACCAAATTAAACTACCTTAACCTATAGTTCAGCACCGCATTGCCGATCAGTTGCAGCAAGTAGCGAACCCTGCTTGTGGCCAGAAAAAAGAGGCCTTCGCATCCTCGGCAGCAGCGTCCGTGGCGGCTTGGCGAAGGATGGTCTTGACCACAGCAGTCAGTAGCCTGTCAGCCACCCCGGTGGAAGAAAATATAGATCTAAGCTGCGCGAGCCTGCTTGTTGCTGTGCAACTATCTGTTGCCCACATTGGGTCATAGCCTGAGCAGGAAAAACAAACTTATTAAACACACTTGAGCGTCCGCAGGTTGATAAATCCGAAAATGAAATTGTTTTGATTATCCATTGCCGCCAAACCATTCAATTCATGGAACCGTTGACTCAAGATCAAGAAATGTGATCCGAAGATGTTGGTTTTTTGTCAAGAAATCCAACAAAACGGCGAACGCTCATTGTGTTTCTTGAAGAGCTACAATGAATTTTCAATGCGTTCCCTTCAATCTCTTCATTGCTTTCAGCTAGAACTTGACAGCTGTGGCTCTGGATGCTATACAACACCTAGGTTCTGGGCGCCCTTGCGCAGTTGTGCGAGGAAGTGCTCTAAGGACACCCCAGCACCAAAGTTAGGCGCATAGCGGTGCCACAACAAATCCATCTCCTGAAAAAATCGTCAAGGAGAGGATGAATCAATCTATTTGCCCTTGATCTCGGCCTGTCTTCTATAAGAATTTGAAGATGTGTGCCCTCTTCAAATAAAGGCGCAGAGGGATACTGACCTGCCTTCTCTGTAATTGGTATCTGCTGGTCCCGCAAGGCCTGGCATTTCAACTGATCCAACAAGTGCAAGGGCGCGAAGAGTAGACTCTAGTCCGTGTCATTTGGATATTATGCAAAGGTTGGCTGGCCACTAAGTAGCGACGCCAGGAGCCCCTAATAGCGTCCTTGCTCCCAGTAGCGATGCCAGGAGCCCCTAGTAGCGTCCTTGCTCCTAGTAGCGATGTGAGGAGCCCCTAGTAGCGTCCTTGCTCCTAGTAGCGATGCCAGGAGCCCCTATAGTAGCATCCTTGAAGCCTCCTTGGCTCAGATGGTGTGCGCTACCACCCTCCACCAGCGGAGATGGGCCGCGTGGGCCGTTGTGCTGTTGGCCCGGCCAGCAGATCTCCTGACTTGCACACCTCTCTGCCAGCCTGTCCCAAGTCCAGGTGCGCCCAAATGGACACGTTCGATGTTGATGAGTGGCCCGAACTTCAATCCAATGTATTCTATTTTGATCTTTTGGGCGTAGGAGGTGAGGGTAGAGCAATGAAGATTTTTCTGATCCCTCACGCATTATCCCTAAAGAACGCGGTACAGGGCCTGTAGCGTCCGGTGGGACACCATTGAGGGCTACACGCCGACCAGCTAAGCGCTCCTTTGCAAGGGCCCTGAAGAGGTTGCATCGAATTGGCTTTTGCGTCTACCGTGGTCACGTGCGTGTCCAGCAACCTTCAGCCTTTGAGACCGCTCCCAAGCAGACCCCTGCTCAGCCTCGCCCTGGCAGGGCAAAGGGACCGCGCCTGAGCTGCATCACCTGGAAGTGTGGGTTTTGACCACAGACGCATACAATGAGCTCCTCCTTGTTTGGCTATCCATCCATAGCATAGACATATGTTTCGTTCAAGGAACTAGGCGGGCCGTAGCCGAGGTCTGGCGCTCCTCACCATCATCAGAACACGATTTTGTCCAGCCTCAGCCATCAGCCATGCCACTGTGCTTGAAGGCCGGTTGCAACGCGTAAGATGCCCCTGGAAATGATCTCCATTGATCTTGTAAATTGCTATCAGCATCCCAACATACAAGCAAGGAATAGACCTGACCCCATTCGTGCACGAGATACATTTTGGCAAGCATGGGAAGGGTTGCTGGCAAAGTTGCCTTTTCGTAATCTCCTCTTAACGGCAGGTGACTACAATTGCACCCTGGATGTCTCCAAGTCCCGTCGAGCCAAAGATGCACAGTTTCCTGACCAAGCGGTCTTCAAGGCCGTGCTCACCAGGTTCTCTCTCGTGTACATGACCCTCATCCTAGCTATAAAGGACCTGCAGGTCAATCTAACATAGACTACATCTTTGCACATCGACCCCAGCTTGACCAACACTCACGTCAAGCCCGGTGCATCAGGTCCTTCCCATGGAACTCACATCGTGAATATCAAGATCACGCACCCGTTGCCTGCGCAATTCCGCTGAATTGGAAGGCCTGCTACAGTCAGCAGAAACCGAACTCCCATCGTCTGACATATGCCACAACAATGCAAACGCGCCAGGAGTGGGACATGTCTTCACCCAACTGGCTGGAGTTCGAGAGCTTGATTGACCGACTGAGGCAAGCCGTCGACCAGACTGCACACCCTAATCAGACTGTTGTAAAAGCATGTTACGAAAGCTTTCGTAAAGCACCTTCAACCAGAGATGCAACGTGGACCATGCATACCACCAGGTCATTGGTGGCTCAGAAATGATGGCGACACCTCCACTTGCCGCGTCATGCTCAGATTTTGGGCCCACAGAGAATGTCCCAAGCCTTTCGTGCGTGGGTCCATATGACCAAACACGCACAGCTCAGGAAACGCCTTCGTAAGCATTGCCAAGATCAACGCCGAGAGCGTGTGAATCGGGTCATCCATGAGGCCACCCGAGCAGCTTCACGACATGATTCTAGGCGGCTATACACGGCGATTCGCTCTCTGACGCCCAAACAACCTACTTCTAGGCAGATCAGATTTCGTATAATGGCGGGGTTGCCCAATCGCTCAGGAAGAGCTTGTCCAATTGATCACTCACTCCGAAGCCATATTTCGAGCCACTTCCTCAGACACACCACCCACGCAAGCCACGCCACTTGCTTTCTCTCAGGAAGATCTGGAACGTGAGCTACGAGCAACCAAGATCAACAAGGCCACTGATCATCAAGCACTTTGCACCACAGCTTGCGTGTTGGTTGTACAGGTACTTGACGACCGCTTGGATGAGTGACCATCCCTATACGTCCCTTCTGCCTGGAAGGACGCAGTTTTGACTCTTTTAGCCAAGAGAAGCATTTCTAGTCCCGGTGACCTTAGACCAATAGCATTAAGTTGTGGACTAGGTAAATCTGTGTTAGGAACCTTGGTGAAACGCGCGCATTCCCATATGGCCGAGACCTTAATCGTATACCCACTGCTTGCATATACTGCACAGAGAGGGGTCTTTGAAGCCCTCTGCTATGCCTTCGATCACTGCCATCAGGTTCGCGCAGCGTGTTTGAACGCCAATCCATCACATTGGATGAAACAGGCAGGACACTCACGACCCGACTTGTTGGTGGTATCATGTTGTCTTTAGACCTCACTCAAGCCTTTGACAGGATGCCACGCTCGAAGTGGTATGAGGGCCTGCTCACTTGTGGCTGTCCGCAACGGACAGCCCTGTTGCATATAAACTGGTTGAAGGATGCTAAATACGGAATCCACCACCGGGGTCTTTCTTCTGAAATAGTCACCACCTGTGGGGTTAGACAAGGCTGTCGTGGGAGCCCCCTTGAATGGAATGTTTTCATGAAGGTCATCCTTAAAGCCTTGTGTACTGTTTTTGGTACTGAAGTGGGCCTGGAAAATTGACTCCGCCCCAAGTGTACAGCAAGCATTGATTGACATTGGTCAAACACTCGAGATCCTTGGACAGCATCAACTTCTTTTCAACCCCAGAAAGACTGTCATGCTCGTTCGTCTCGAGGGCTCCCAGGCGGCCAGAACGACCAAACAGTTTCTAGTTCGCGCCAAAGAAGGCCTATTTGCTAAGATCCCAAGAATCAATGGTGGAACCTTGCTTCCTGTTGTTCACTCCCACACCTATCTTGGACGCAAGCTTTCGTACCACTGTTTTGAAACTCTCACCGTCAATCACAGAATGCAAATAACGCCATACCATATCCCCACGAACGAGAGCCCACACGCGGAGATCTTGCATACTCAGCTCCTACCTCCACGGTCTTGCAGCAACAGGCCTCACTCAGGCTGGACAGCACAAGCTGATCTTTCGATGTCGCGCAGACATTCGATTACTTGGCCAATCTCCTGGACATGTTACTCACGAGTCTAATATAGACCTGGTTCGTCGACTTGGTCTTGTTGAACCAATTCAACATGTTCAGGCACAGTGGAACCAGCTTTTTGCCCGCCTTGAACACCAGCAGGCACACCTTGAACAACATGACTTTCTCAGAACACTATACCACTTGCAGCCACTAAATGCAGGGTCCTGTCAGCCTTTGATCATGTCAAGGTTCAGCAACCGATTTGGGACTTGTCATGTCCGTACTGCCCCCCAGATCTTTGAGAACATGACCACGCTCAATCGTCACATGGTTGTAACACATAAGATCACACACGTCTCCTTGCCATTCCATCCAGAACGTGATGCGTTGCTAGGCCGCCCACAGTGCCGGCACTGTCTCTATCGATTTCATGAATGGAGAGGCTTGAAACGACACATCAGCTGCGGAGGCTGTCCAATGTTTGACCCTGAGCTGGCTCCACAGGTACCTCCTGCAGACCAAATGATTTTCCGAGAACCTGCTCAAGCTGATGTTTGGATGGCCATGATCGAACAGCCTGTGCTCCTTCAGACTCTGCGTGAAAACTATGCGTTATGTGGTAGATACTTTTTCATGGGGAAATCCTTGCTGGAGCACCTGAACCTCAACCACTTCGAGATGTGGAATGAATCAAAATCATACGCCTACCTCATCATCAATGATCTTCGCGATGCCAAACCCTGCCAAGCCTGTGGTACCACCATGACGAAAGCCCATTCCTGTCATGTGATCAGGCAGATGGCCTCATACACATCATGCGTGCTACCAACCGCCATGCCAAGGACATTGCGCAGGGCAAACCAACTGCACCTATGCCACCCAAGCCTGAAGATCATTGGCAGATCCCAGAATCAGGCCAGAGAATTCGCACGACGCCAAGAACTGGCAGTCAAGAGCCAAGTCATTACCCCGGAGGGCAAATGGCCCTTTCTTCAATGGTGCAACGAGGCAAAACGTCTCAAGCCGACCTCGAGACCAGCCATCGACATGATCAAGATGCAGAAGCGCCTGGAGGACATGGTGGAAGCTGCCCAAGCGGAGCAACACATCCTGAGATTCAAAGCACTGAAGAACACCTCCAACGAGATCAAGCATCAGCAGATCTGCCCCTTCCTGCTCCACCTCTCCCTCGGGAGAGCACTTTGTGGGAACTTCTCCGTCTGCTATCTCGCAACTCCTTATGGCTGGTGACCCAAGCGAGAGTCCGCCCTCACAATCAGAGAGAGAACCCTTAATTTGGCCACTTCCTTAGCCAAATCCTCGAGACAGCAGGACACGAGAACATCCGGTGGCCTTTCCAACAAGAGGAAGTAAAGGGCACCTTGATGGCATTGCGCCTCATCAATCCGGAAAATCTATGCTTTGCGCATGCCACCATCTTGGCATTCTTTTGGGGGTTCCTACACCTGCGCCACTGCGAGTGGACGGATCTTGGCGAAGCTGCCAGGCCGCTCGTGGACTTGTGTGGTCGCAGCTCCTTGTGGGTCGATGTCCGTGATCTTGACTGCTGGAATGACTGGCTTGCTTGTTGGGGAGACGGCAGACAGCATGATGCTCATGAATTTCTGAAGGCTTTTTTGGGCCTACACACGTCCACCTGCTCTGACCGGCTCATGGGTCAGGAAGATGTACACAGAAGGGCTCGAGGAACGACGGCATACCTGCCACCTTCTTTGATCACCATGTGACATCCACGCTGAAAA